TGTGTGTGTGTGTGTGTGTGTGTGTGTGTGTGTGTGTGTGTGTGTGTGTGTGTGTGCGCGTGTGCATGTATACACGTGTAAGGGAGAAGGAGTTTGTGCTGCATGTTTATTTTTGGGGCAGCAGTCATCATTAAAACTCATTTATCTGTGCACTGATGATGTAAAGTGGGAAAAAAGTCCACAAATATTTTTGCTGCATGAGCAATCACAGTAAATTAAACAGCCGTGTGAAATTTTAAGCAAATATGAAGTTCAAACCTTAAAGATCAAGGGTTGTACTTCATATAAATGCAAATCATCAGGTCATAATGTTGTTAATATATGTCCAGATAGGCATATATTGCTTGCCATTTATTTGCACCACATGCTACACTCATTTTTTCCTGTTTTGGCGTGTTTCCGTGGTGATGCTTGGTAAAGTCACACAGTAAATTCAGTCACACCGGTGTTGCAGCAAACTGTCAATATAAAAATTGCAGTTTTAAAAGCAAATATTTTGTAATTTGTAACCCTAACTAAAAACGCATTGTATATACTGTAAATGTTTTAATACTAATAATACTGCAAATAATGCACGCATCAGCACCTTTATCTATAAAACTTGGTGTGATTTACCCACTTGCTTTGACTTCTTTACTTTTTTTACATTTTATTTGAACATGCTATACTTCCTTGTGTTCTTGTGGAAATAGCTTCCTGCTAACACACTTTAAGACACACAAATATACACCCTTTTGTGTCTTTTTGTGGCGTTGGTTGTTTGTAGTAGCTTATTGTATAAGTGTCTGCCCTCAGCTAATGTTTGCTGTTGCCACGAGCACGCTTCCCCTTCTCATTCCAGCCACCCATCTGCTCGCCTCACCCCAAGTCACCCTCTGTGACCCAGCCACCCTTGCACCCTCATATCCCATTAACACCACCTAACAGACCCTATTTTCCAGTGCCCCCTTCTTCCTGCTTTCCATCCCAACCTGCCCCCACGTGCCCTGCCTAGCTTGCTCTACGAGATACTAAAGGAAAAGATCAGCCCTAGTGGCCTGCATGAATAGAGCTGCTGTGCTCCACATCTACACGCGTTCAGTGTGGGGTGCTGTAGTAGGTAGGGTCTGGACTGAGCCCTCAGTCCTGAAGTGTGTCAGTTCAGTCAGGTCTTTTCTGTCTGAACAACCCTGCATCCATAACTGATTCTCCCACTAGCTCCCTTCTTGCCCACTTGATCAAACCACCGTTGGCTTCCTCTCCTTTTGCTCGACTCTCCAACCTGTCCTCTCCTCTTATTTTTGCCCGGCTAACTTTTGCCTGACTAAATGCATGTCTGCCACTTCCAGGCTTGGCAGAAGATGCACATGGGCCCTTGTTTTCAGAGAAGGTGCATCCTGCATTAGCTGTGTCAGGCTGCAGAGCAGTGACTGCCACAGGCGTGTTTGTAATTGCCCATGTTGTTGGATGAGCAATGAACACAGCGTGATCTCCTCTGGGTTCACTGTACTTTTTTCTTGTGATTGTTTCTTTATGTTCTGGTTCTAATGTGTCTGTTTTGTTTGTTTTTTAATTTCCTGTGTGTTCTCTTATTTCCTGCTTCCAATGTCTACTTCACTCGTTCCATCAACCCCTTGTCTTCTGCCTTTTCCTTTCCCCATCTGCAGTCTAGCTCCCAGGTAAGTAATGCCCCTGCTCCCATTACATCCCCATTTCTTCCTAACTCCATCCTAACACTGGTGCTTAAACCTGTGATTTATCTCAGCAATGCAATTAACATGAAGCTATCGCTACATCTGTGATGCTCATGTTTTGTTGTTGTCCTGGTGATCTCATAAGCGGTACTATTTTGAAACTGAATACATTCAAAATGCACTTGACATGATCGCCCATTGCTGTACTGGCTTTGCTTGTTTTGTGTTTCACATTTTTGTTGTGGTTTTGGGTATAAAATGCACCCATTTCATAAGTCTACATATTTTTCATATAACTCTACTGACTTTTAATGGAAATGCACAAATTTTGTGGTTTTGCAGACAAGGGGGTAAAGATCAAGCTAAAAAGGGTTCAAACATCAAACTGGGGCTGCAAGGTGACAAGAAAGGCTTGGGACAGGACCCTCGTAAGGACAGCTCCATAGATGGTGGTCACCACTTGAAGGTGATGTACCCTAATAAAAAAAAAATTTACCCCTGATGATACACAGTTTAGTAATTACCTAATGAGATATGTGTCCTTGTTTTCCCAAACGTCAGTTGGAGGAGCTAATGAACACGCTAGAAAGGACGAGGCAAGAGCTGGATGCCACCAAGCAGCGTCTCTCCTCCACACAGCAGTCTTTACAGGAGAGGGACACTCACCTCACCAACATGAGACAAGAACGCAGGAAACAGCTGGAGGAGATCCTTGAAATGAAGTTAGTGTTTTCTGAGATTTGCTGTTAGCAAAAATCTGATTGGCGGTCTACATTTTCAACCTCCTTTTTTAAAAAATGTTCTTGTAATTAAGCCTTGGATTAATTTCTTTTCTCAAAATGTAATCCAGCTCATTTGTTTTTGTCCTTCCCCACCGTCTTTATGAGAAGACAGCCGACATAGCACTGCTAAATTGAAATTTGATTTCATTATCAGAACAAAAAGTAATCTGAAATCCACCACGATGGTCACACTGATATTCAAAACAGTAGCCAATCTACCCAAAATGTCTGTGTAGGTTCTCAGTCATCCAGGTCATTGTAATCTAAGTTTCTTGAAGAGGTTTCACTTCTCATCCAGGAAGCTTCAGTTCTAAGACCAAATGGTGGAGAGTCCCAGTTTTTTTTAAAGGGACAACTCCCACTAGGGAATACCTGGGGCTCTCCACCATTTGGTCTTAGAACTGAAGAAGCTTCTCTGAAGTGAAACCTCTTAAACTTAAAATAGTCCAATAATTTTTCTTCCCAAGCTCCTTAAATCTACCCAAAAGTCAATATGTGCTGCACATTCACCCTGAGGCCAGATAATGTCCAGAGAAATTGCAGAAAAAAACACAAAATCTCAGACTCTACATGCCTTGGTTAGCTTGTTAAATGTTGAAGTTCATGACAGTTTGGCTTGTATGGGAGAGCCAGAAGAACATGGTACACATCGTAAAAGTGCATCTTAAGAAAAAACTGTCCTGGACAAATGAGATCAATGTGGCGATGTTTGCTAATAATAATTAGCACAAAGTTTGACAAAAACCAAACACAACATATCAGTACAAACACCTCATACCCTGTTAAAGCACAGTGTTGGTGGGGTGATGATTTTGGCTTGTTTTTCAGTCGCAGGGTCTGAGCACCTTGTAATCACTGAGTCGATCATGAGTACCTCTGTATATCAAAGTATTCTAGAGTCAAATGTGAGGCCTTCTATCTGATAGCTAAATCTTTCTGGAGATACTACTGTAGTGTTTTATGTTGTTTTTCTTTCAGACAACAAGCTCTGCTGGCAGCAATTAGTGAGAAAGATGCTAATATTGCACTGCTGGAACTGTCTGCCTCGAATAAAAAGAAGACCCAGGAGGAGGTGCTAGCCCTCAAGAGGGAGCGGGACAAACTGATGCACCAGCTCAAACAACATGTTAGTACTGCAGCATACTTCCAAGGAAATTTCTCTCTGCCGATGCTTGTTGCCAAAATAAAAAATGTAGCTGTACAAGTCAGCTAAACAATTTTCTACAAGGTTATCACTGCATGACCACTTTGCAAGTTCAGAGTCATTTTTCTGCTTTTATTTCTTAAGTCTTTGTTAATTCCAGACTAGTACTAAAATGAAGTGATGTCATTATCATCTCAATTTGCAAATAATTTGTGGCCGTAAACATCAGAGTTGAATAAGAAGTCTGTGCCTCCAAGACTTCAGTTTTGCAGCAGTCTCAAATATTCCGTTTTTTAATTTTTTTTTATTTTAAGCTAACTAAAATTTTAAAGCATACAGCTCTAGTATGATTTACACACGTAAAATTCTGGCAGAGGCAATCTGGCCACTTTTCTGTCTCTAGTTTTTGTCTTATGTCACCTTGGAAGCACATAAACTGATCCTTGAACAGTGGATGGTCACCTGGAATCGTACTGTAGTTTAACCACAGACGGTATATAAAGAATGGAGGAAGCCTCTAGGCCTAAAGCCATTGTAGATGTGTCTAAGAGTTATAGATTCTTTCTAACTGCCAGTAGGAGGTGAGACTTGTCGCTCATCTTAATCAGTAGTTTTAAGCCTTATTTAATACAACCTGATTTTTATGTTATGAATTAGGACAGCGACAGTTACTTTGTTACTGACAAGTTGCTGCCATGTACTGCAAGTGTGCAGTCTCCTCACTTCTGCCAACTGCAGAGCGTCATGCACTGACCTCTGCCCTCCTCCTACAGACACAAAGCAGAATGAAGCTGATAGCCGACAACTATGAAGACGAGCAATATCATCCACATGCTCCTCACCACCCCCAGTCTCAGCCCCCACATGCTCCACCTCAGCCCCAGCCCCAGTATTCCCACGCTCCCCACCCTCAACAGACTCCATATCCACACGCCCCGCACCCGCAACATCCGCAACACCAACAGCACCCACAGCACCTGCAACACCCACAGCACCCACAGGCATCCCAGCAACACCCACACCCACAGCAGCCACAGATGCAGTACCCTCACCCTCCTCACCAGCAACATCCTCAGCACCCTCAGCCACCTCCCCAGCACCAACAGCACCCACGCCCTCCACAGCCCCAGCACCCTCACCAACAGCACCCCCAGCATCCTCAGCAGCACCCACATGGGCATCTGCCTCCGCAGCACCCTCACCCTCAGCACCCACACGGACCTCCGCAACAGGGGCCACACCCCCAACATCCACACCCTCAGCACCCCCAGCACCCCCAGCACCCTCAGCATCCCCAACACCCTCACCATGCCCAACATCCACGTCACCCGTCGCCCCACCATCGCGGGGGACCAGCCCGAGGACCCCCGCATGCTGGTCATCGCCCTTCCCCAGACCAGGTAAGATCACACATGTTATCTCTGTTATTAAATGCTATTTACAACATGTTTCAAAGGTCAGCACTGACGTCTTTTTGATATGGAAAAGTAAAAATGTCTTAAAACTCAGTTAATCTAATAACTGTGACCAACAAATGCCACAAGCTACATACTGTACTTGCATGTGACACAGATATCTGTGATAATCTCAGCCATGATGGTTAGAAGTTTGCTTTGACAGACTGTCAAATACACAGTAGCACAGTAGTTGGACAATAGATGCAATGTTAAAATTCTGTTGTAGAGAAATAGTTGTGATATTAAGCGAACAAAGAATTAACCGCTGACATCGCTCCAGTCACCAGATGTTGGTCTCAATAAATAAGACACAGTTTCAGTCCCTCCAGTTCTCAATGCTGCTTTGAATAAAAGCAACATAACAGCTTCTGCTGCTTTCTTCTCCTCATGCATAACGCTGCCAACGACAGGATGACGAGGAGGGCATTTGGGCATAATCCTTGCTGTGACAACCAAAGCTCTAATGTTGTTTTGAGGGGTGAGAAATATTTAAGACTTTCTTAATTTTACTTCTTTGCCAGCGGAGTCTGTGGTGTTTTGTAAAAATCTCAGCATGTTTGTCAGATTTATATTTTTATCTTTATATATCTTTGTATTTTTTTTTTCTCACATTCAGATGATTCAGTCACTACTGGAGGAGCACAGCCATGCCATGATGTTGTAACACTACCCAACTAAATATTTATTACCTCCACTCAATCAGTACCCAGCAACGGGACCTTTTTTTCCCAGGAAGAGGAGGGGGAACTCAGGTGTGCAGGTCATGCATAGAGACTGACAGCTGAGCAGGTATTTCACCCATCTGGACACGCATAGACATGCTGTAGTGAACATTATATTAATTACACTAAAAGAAAAATATTTCCAAACTGAAACTTCCACTGTCTCCTTCATGTTCTGTTTAAGGTGATGTGGGAGCTCTTCTTGGTGTGAACAGGACAAGACGCACTCCACTTCACACAACATTAGATATTCACAACTGAAATGGAAGGAGAGAGAACGATATGGAGAAAGAGATGTTCTGTGTGTGTCTAATTGTTGCTTGGACATGTGATTAACACGGGAGCACTGTATCAGAGGTTACACCGAGGTCAACTCACCTGTCTGTCACAAGTTCAGGCCAACGGCGCTCTCTTGATCCACCCAGCAGAGATCTCATGACCGTCTGTCAGCCCAGTATTTCTTCCTTCCTCCTTCTTCCTTTGACTGGTTCAAGATCATGGTTGTCTTGCTGACTGTTTCACCTGCCTAACTGACTCCTCTGGCTCTGGTTGGCTCCTCCGCCTGACTCTTGTCATGGTTTTTCAATCCTCACTGCCCTCCTGACTCACCTGGTGACATCTGACCCCTCTGCCTGGCTGTCATGACCTTCGGCGTGTTGTAATCATCAGATTGTTTTGCTGAGCTATATTTTCCCTCCGTGGCACACAGTGACTTCTTCCTTTCTTTTTCTTTTTTTAACCTTTTTACCTGCCATGCGTTTCTTCAGCATTTCTAAACGTGACGTGGTGTCCCTTTACTAGCATGTTCCACACAGTCCAGATTAAGTGGTTTTAGGATTTCTTTTGTCATTTCTTGTTGGTAAAACGAAGAGCTTTGAGCTGACTGATGACAGGCTTGAGCCTTGCCTGCAACATCAAGAGGTCTCTGTGGCTGTGCAAGCAGGGCCTTCCAGTTCTCTGGCTAGTTTTAGCCTTAAGGCTGTGGCTGCACTGGATTTTATCTTCATCTTACCTCATTTTAATCAAAAGTAGTCAAAAAAAGAAATAAACTATGCAGATGTAAACATAGAGTGAATGCATTCCCATCCTTACTTAAATCAAGTCAAAATGATTTAATTGTCCAATCACAGCAGCCAAGGGAGTGGTCAGAATATATTGATCAGATTATTTAGATTATTTCTGAGACTATGCACCTATGCACCTCCTCTGTGTTGCAGGAATTTTTACTAATGGTGCTTCTGCTGGTGCTCAAACTAAACGGTGTGAGAAGACCTGGTAAAGAGCATCTTTTAGTCCTTTTACAGTAAAGGGACTTGATCCCACAATGGGCTTCATAAACAACTGTAAAGGAGTTCTTTGTACATATGATTTGACAAATGGGGTTTGTGATCCACACACAGAGGCTAGGTCCCTCAGCAAATACTGCTACTATAAGCATCATTCTAGACTATAAAGAGAAGGCAGTGTCCAATAGATGTTTATCCTGCAGGTCTATTGGAGCCACTGACACACCAGTGTCTGACCTAGAGTATGCTCCTGCTCCCCTCTCCCTTGTACTCTTCCAGCAGTAGTTTGTGTGACCTCCCCAAACATAGTGACTTGTTTTCTCCTTCTCAACAAGGTGGCCTGTGCCTCGTAAAAACTGTACACATATGATAGATATGAATATATTATACATATAGAGAGAAATCTATAGAGTGTGTCTATATGTGGTCAGAAAATCATTTCAAACTGACAAGATACTATATAAATATATATATATAATATATATATGTTTCTTTTTTCTTCATGGTTATTTTTCTATCTGGCTGGAGGTCTGAGAAATGTCTTATTTAGAGCGTTGAGCGGTGTGATTTTCCTCTGATTTGTACTGTATATGAAAACCCCCCTCAGCAGCAAATTTAACATTCCCTGTCTGAAAATACAGGACAGCCCAAATAAAAAAAAATTAAGAGCTTTAGGACAGTTTATGGGAAACAAAGAAGTGTATCCAAATCTATCTAGAAGTTTAGAAAAGGTGACATTATTACATTCCTTTCTTAATGTGAAAAACAACTCAGTTGAAGACCACTTTGCCTGTGGTGACGACTTTGAACAGCGACTTTATTTATTTTTTTAATTTTGCAGCTCGCACAGGTAGCATTGAGATTATGTCTGCTGAACTCAGCAGTCAGAAGCTTGCACTTGTGAGAGGACTATCACAGTTATCACCCAACCGGAGGTTTGAGTGACTCTGTCTGGATGCATTTCCTTCGTGTGTTTGTCGTTGTTGTTGTCTCGTAAGCCGAAGTGATGATGTATGTGACCGTGACAGCTAACCGAGTAGAAAAAAAAAAAACACACGCGCACACAAATTGTTACAGTATAGTGGAAAAATGAAGTAGACTGTTACAATCCCCAGTTCCTCTCTCTAACCCTCATGGTGCCTGTGTGTCTCCCTTTTATGGCCAAGTGTTGGTTGTTGTATATAAATGTCTTTCCATTCACTCATCACTCCAAGGTGATCTGTGCATCATCTTTTATGTGTCTGCTTCCCACCGTTACGGCTCTGATCCACTGACCAAGAACCAACAGACCGTGTGAAACCTTGCTGTTTGTGTTTACAAATGTTAAGATAAATCCTGACTTGGATGTTTAAAAAAAACAAAAGGGAAGACAATGCAAACAGACAGAGGAGCAACAATCCTCTCACTACACCGAGAGGGGGATGAAGTATGAATCCTCTATTTTCAGGTCCTTATCTACTGAATACTTGAAGTAGGGAGTTCTCCTACCATGAAATAGTAACATATGATTTACATGGTAGACGACATTTCAATTGTGCCCATGCATGTCGATTTTTACATAATGTGCCAACTGAAAGCGATGATGTAAGGATAATCTCCTGTTCTCTATGCAGAGCGATTTCTCTACTGTTGTGTCAAAAAAAGGTTTCGGAGACACCAAGGCTTAGAGGCTGGGACTGGTTTCCTGAGCTTAGACGCAAGAGTAATCTGACATTGCGTGTGGCAGATTTGAGAAGGCAAGGCTTCATCGGTGCCTAGAAACAGATGTGTAGAAAGACTTGAAAAGTCACCGGTAATTTTCAAAAGCCTTCAGAAAAAAGAAAAAAAAAGCCTACCATACATTTTCACTGTATTCTTGTAAACAGGTTGTTTTTGTTTTACTGCAAATCACTGAAAACTTTGGATTAAACAAATCACTGTGACCAATGCCAGAAACGCTTTTGTTTAACGGAACAAATATTATGTTTACTTTTTTATTATTCATTTTTTTGTATTTAAGTTAGCTTTATTTTTTCTATTTTTTCGGTGCACTGAACATGCCAGTTTGAGACTGTACTATTTGTATAGGTAAATGTTTTGAGGTGTACAGTAAAAACCAAGGAGCAAACTAAATGTGTGTCCAGCATGCTGAATGATTATTCGTGTGAACGTGAGCTAATCTCCCATAAAGCATCATTCCTCATACATTAATTGCATCTGCATCGTGCATTGTGACGGTGTGATGTTGTGTTTGAGAGTGATGTGTGTCTCACTTACTGTGTCCCCTTAGTAGACAGCCTGTGCAGTTCTGTGAGAGTGCAGCATGTTCTTGGAGTTGCTGGTGTAAATGCATTCAGAAAAGAGGGATGTGTGCGTGCATAACTGCAATTTATTTGTTTATGAGTGCGTGTATGTTGTTGTGTGAATGCACAAGATAAAACTATTTAAAAAAACTAAACAAAAACAACAACAACAACTTTATAAAGAGAAAGTCCCTAAATTTAAAAAAAAAGTGAGATTGAGTAAGTTTGGGGGAAAAAAAAAGCATGGATACTCTGTAATGTTTTGTTTTATAAAAACTATAGGAGGCTGTCCTCAGTGCCCCAGTTTGCTATTGTATGTGCTGTATCAGACTATTACTATTGAGTGTTGGCCAGCTTGTTTATATCCATCAAATAAAGGTGACTTTCTTTCTGTCTGCGTTTGTGATTTTTCAACTAAAATCACTTAAACAGTTGCTACTTTATACATAAACTTTGTCTACCTTCTTTAAGTTAAAACCTGATTTAATGCTCACTGAAGATGACTGATTCAGAATAACTGTATGTAAAGTATTTATTTGAGCATTTATACCTTGAAAAATGTGCACATGGAAAGCATTGAACATAACAGCTTTACTACAAATTTCCATACACCAACACAAATCAGGATCCTAATGAGGACACATAATCTTTCCTTTAGTTTGTGCTGACAGCAAAAAGCAAAGATGAAAACCAGCAGAGAGAGACTTTGACTTCAGAAACATGAACAGGTAGAAATGGAGGCAGCAGCCTAACTGCTCATCGCTGCTTTTGCTACATGTTAAAGTTCAGGGTCTGGCTGCTGAGCTGGGGTCCACATGCCTTGGACCATCGTCTGTAAACTATAAAGATGGTTATGTTGGGAAATTTTAAATAGATCACCAGTTTGTGAAATACTGAGACCAGGCTGTCTGGCAACAACAACCTTGACATAGTCAAAGTCACTTAAATCATTAGCCAACTATATATTTGCATAAACGGCAGCTGAACAGGTGTACCTAAAAAAAAAAAAAAAAAAAAAAAAAAGGGTGGTGAAAGCATCCTCTCATTGTATTTTGGCTGCTCCAAATACAGAGAGAAAAAACCCCAATCGTTGCTCATTTCTAATGCAGTACATACAAATAACAGCAGACTGGCCATGGTCATTACCTTGGACTGCTGCAGGAGCACAACATTAATGTGTTTGTTTGATATATAATAATCTAAACACATGACTTTCTTCCTAAGCCTTCTGCTAAGATACCTTCTCCCCCCTTTGTTTAGATCTTTAGTTTGGATTCTTTGGCTCTTACTTGTGTAAAGTGAGACAACATTCACCGTGGTATTTAGATGTCTGCAGCTTCATTAATGTCCTTGTGAGAAAGATACTTGAGACCCTGAAAGTCAGTTTTTCCTG